ACGCCGGGGGGGGGGCCGGCCGGAGCCATAACACTGGAAGGCCGCCGGAAACAAAGACGAACCACTTCCGGGTGAATGTTGTGGGTCAAACCGATCAAAGACAACTGTCCCTGCCTTAAATCGTTTCTCTGGTTAATTTGCTGTGACCTGACTTTAAGTTTCATGTCCTCGTCTAATATCCTTTAACCGGATCTCAGTCACGAGCTTTTCGTTTTTGGTCCCGCATCGACCCTCCTCGATGGCCTCCAGGCGGCCGGACAGCTTTGACGGGCTCGGATACCGCGGCCGTGACGATCCGTTGTATGGAGCAAGCTACCCGGTCAGGAGCGCTGGAGCATCCGCGGAGTTGCAGCACCACCACTGGGTTACCACACCGCCTGACATTCCCGGCAGTCGCAATCTGCACCCCGGAGAGCGCACGCCGCAGTACGACGAGCCGTTGGGAGAGCCTGGAGGTTCCGGCTGGGACGCACCGCAGCCAGGCGTACCGCCTGCCGGTAGGTCGATGGCGTATTAGATAGCAGGCTAATGATACGATGGGAAGTGAACGGAGCGGGCTAACGGCTACTCAGCTAACGCACGGTCATGGCAGGACATAACCGGTATTTTGCTAAGCTGCAGGTTAATAATAGGCTAGAAAGTCAACTGATGACGTAGGAAATCATACAAATTAAAGCTAACTGGTAGTTAGCCAGCGGGCTAATGCTAATGTATGCATGGATCATTCAAGCTAACTAGGCGATTAAACGTCATCTTAATATCTAGTTTTTTGCTTAATTGATATATTTATGCAATTTATTTTTGTTAGATTTAAATGTTGGTAATGATAACGTAATAATAATACTAAAATGCCAATTTAAATCTTATAGTAAGTCCAGATTTAAACTCCTTACTTTCTAAGATTTTGGATTTTTGAATTTGAGTGTTTATTTTTGTTTGCAACATTTCATTAATTTTTTTCTTGATGGAAATAAACTTCTATATCCTTTTTATTTCCTCACTAGTTGTAAAATGACGAAGGTCTGTTATGTCCTTGTGTAGAACGTGTCCGATGACGGAGAAGAAACAAAAAAGTGAAGAATGAAATCAACGCATTTTTATTGTAGGCTTTACACTGTTTGTATGAGTGATGCTTTTCTTGTTTTTTCAGAGCAGCTGAATCGATTTGCCGGTTTTGGAATTGGACTTGTTAGGTAGGAGATCATTTCATGTTGTTGTTAGCAGTTCTTGTGGCCCTTAGGTAGTGTTCTTGCCACATGGGCGGCCTGGATTCACTGTCCAGCCCATGCATCACACCCAGCTGCTGGGGTTGCACAAGCCAGTGTACTCTTGGTGCCAGTCTGCAATCCGGATTGCATCAGGAAGGGCATCATTTGTAAAAACCTATGCCACCTCAAGTATGCAGATAATTTTGAATTATGATAATGATTATTATTGTCATTATTACAGGCCTGGTGATAAGACATGTTTGATGATTAACCCCAGTCAGACTGACAGAGTGAGTCAGTCTGACAGCAGCTGATAACACTGTTCAGTCTTTTCAGGTTGTGTCTGATTGTGGGACAGGGCTGCTAATCATATCATCAGTCCTAGCTAAAGTTTCTCGATCCTGACAGTCAACACTGAGGGACCACAAAACTTTGGGTCTGACAGACAATATTCAGGGAAATACTAGGTGCATCACAGACAAAGAATTTTCAAAATAAAAGCATTTAAATAACAGCTGTCTGTGTGTGCAGCCTGTTCACTGAGAACGTCCTTGTTCACCCATGCGTCGTCTTCCGCAGACAGTGCCAGGTGTGTTCACAGTCATCACCTTTTGTCACCATGTTGTTACATGATTATAGTTGCAGATCATTTATATTTGTCTTTGATCAGGTGAACTACCACGCCCGCTGTTACCACCTGACTCCATTCAGTGCTGTCGGTGTCATGTACACCATCACCAAGGCTCAGGTATCACACAGGAAGCTGATGCTGAAAATAATATTTCAATCTTTGTTTTTTAATATCAAGGAATAATCTTTCTTAGAATAATCAGTCGATCTGATCGGGTATCAATAATGTTGTTGTTCAGGGTCCGAAGGCTCTGTGGAAGGGGATGGGAAGCACCTTCATTGTTCATGGTGTCACGCTGGGAGCCGAGGGTATCATCAGCGAGTTCACACCATTACCACGGTAACTATTGGATAATACAGCAGTAATACAGCAGTGTTACTGTAGTAATACTGCTGTATTACTGTGGAACTCTTGCAGTATTACAGTAGTATTGCTGCAGTATTACAGCATGTGTTCTGCCCACAGGGAGCTTCCTCACAGGTGGAGCTGGAAACAACTGGCTGGACATTTGGTGCTTAAAGGGTCAGTCCACTCTTTCTACTGCTGATTTAAAGAGGGCAGGTGTTCTCATGGCACAGATGCAGACCAGACTGGCTCTGCTTGTCTAATGTGTGAGCTGTCTCGCAGAGGTTTAACATTGACGCTCTGTGGACTCCGTTTCAAAGAGACTGCACACGGGCTGAGGCTGAGATGCGCCCAAGGCCAGGAACACTCTGTGTGTATGCACCTGCACTGCAGATGGTCACAGATCTGTCTGTGCTCATCTGACATCAGTTTAAATGTGAATCACTGTTTCTGAGTGAGTTTCTGTTTGCTCTCAAACATTAAACTTTCTCTCTGTCTCTTGCCTGCAGATTAACAGCTGTGGTGGCTCTTCCATTTTACTGTGCCAGCCTCATCGAAACCGTCCAGGTCACTATTAATTATTATTCTTGTTAAGTTGTGAGACTATAATTAATTCCTGTTGTCTCCAAAATGCCATGAGGTATTTGCGCAGACTGCCTGGGTAAATAAAATAAGATGAGAATAAACGATATTAGATGCAGAGGAGAGGAAAATATTTCTCCAGTGCTGCCGTTCAGTCAACAAGAGCAGATATGAATAAAAGATAATAAGAAATAAGATGATGACACCTTTTAGGTCAAAAGGTCAAAAGTGTTTATTTGTCATATGCACAGTTAGGAAACGTGTTTCCCTGTACAATGAAATTCTTACTTTGTCGTCCACATGAATGCCACAAAATACTAATGAAATATAAAGTAGATGAATAAGTAACACAGAATCTAAGGCACTTTAAGCAGCAAATAATAAGAGAATGTATGCTGCATGGGAGCAGCATGTGCAGCAGTCAACAGTCAATGTGCAAACTGAGAATGTAAACAGTACATCACGTATTTCCTGGTAATAAACTCCTCAGCTGTTTAGGAGTCTGATGGCAGAGGGAAAGAAAGAGTTTTTCAGTCTAGTGGTCCTGCATTTCACACTTCTGAACCTCCGGCCAGAGGGTAGGGAGGTGAACAGTCCATGCTGAGGGTGGGTGGGATCTTTGAGGATGGAGGCAGCTTTCCTATGCACCCTGTGATGGTAAATGCTCTGCAGAGAGGGCAGTGGAGTCCTGGTGATCTTCTCCGCAGTCTTTACCACTCTCAGCAGGTGCTTGCGGTCCATAGCAGTAGTGCTGCCATACCAGACAGTGATGCAGCTGGTCAAGATGCTCTCAATGATGCAGCTGGTCAGGACGCAGCTGCGTGTTGTGTGGATCCTTAATGTTAAACCACATGAGAGGAGCAGATTCTCTCCTCACTTTGGTTGTGACGACTTTTGTCAGCATACACACTGTTCAGTACTTTTCCATTTGATGTCATGCTTCATGTTGTTTATAGCAGATGCCTGTGTCACAGGTGGGATGTGTACAGTTGATCCCGTGTCTCTCACTTAGGTACCTATGCTGTAGCTGTGAGAATGACCTGTGGGACTGGATCACCAGCTTCCTCAAAGCCCAGGTCAGTTTCACTCTCACCCTGCTCTAACACGTATTTACCTACAGACTAGGAGCAGATGCAGAACAGCTGAGTCCAGTAGAAGGACTTCAGCGTGTCCTCCGGAGGGTTGAGCGCTGCTCTAGTCCTGATCCTCCTCCACTAATCAGTCGCAAATGTTTTGTCTTCCATCACAATT